TAACAGGATGCCCACTTTATGAAGAGTTGTCTGAAAATGTGTCGGAGTTTGTGAAAGTGTTATCGGAAAGGATCGATAATATTCACCATCAAGTGCGTTCAGACTTGAAAACGTCTGCTGATTCAATGAAGTTATGTTATGATAAGAGATCTACTGAAGTCAGCTTTGTACCAGGAGACAAGGTGTGGTTATATAATCACAGGAAGACCAAAGGGAAGTCTCCTAAATTGTCTTCTCCATGGGAAGGTCCATATGACATAGTGGATCGTCTCTCAGACATGACTTTCCAGATAAAATGTGGTCGGCGAGGTAAGCCAAGGTGGTGCATGCCATCAGGCTTTGGCGTTATCATGGTCCAGGACATTTCAGTTGGAACGAAGTGAACAATGAAACAAATGATGCTGCTGAAGACGTGGCACCTGAAAAAGCCACTGTTGAAGAAGAAACTCTACCCGGTTTTGAGAAGGGAAACAGTGAAGCCCTTGATGAAGTTACTACCACTGATGTGACTGTTACTGATAATAGGACAATTCCCGATGGAGCAGATGAACCCACGTGAAGAAGAAGCCAACGAGATGGAGACCAGTACTGAAGAAGATACGTCCTGTAAAATTAAGAGACTTTGTTTAATTTAAATTTTGTGTTTGTAAATTCTGTACATTTAATTAAGTTATTGTTAATTTTTCTATTGTTTTAATGTAAGTTGCTATTGTTCGGGACAAACAATACTAAGGAAGGGGCAGTGTTACAACAGCGGAAGTCACGTGACGCTGGTAACGCGCAATGCATTCTAGAAAGATAGGGGAATATCACGAATAATCCAGTATTTGCTAGGCACCCTCTATTCTTGTATATAAGTGTGGCAGACAATTAATCGGTATGGTATAGTGGACAGAGAGATTGAAGATATAGACGGACAATTGAGTCAAGCGCAGTAGTAAGTAAAGTGTGTGAATCGTTCGTTGAGAATTATAGTGTGTGTTTAAGTGACTGTGGAAATTAAGTGTATTGTAAAGTTGTATTGAGAAAGAATAAACTAGTTTTATTTAAGAAAGGACTTGTATCACTGAAGCTTCTCGGGAAGAATTTTTACCGGAAGTTATCAAACAAGCAGAGACGTAACAATATATATCTTGAAATAAATATGGATGTAAATAAATACAGTGATATAATTATTGTTTTACTTTAATTAGTCCAATTTATGTTTATTCTGGGCTTACATTTATGTGCAAGTGTAGGTAAGTATATGAATGTTACAATCACTAGCCTGTAACTTACTGAAGAATGTTAGCTTTTAACAGTAGTATGAATTCAGTCAAGTATTAAGTGAATCGTGGTGTCATTCAGTAAAAAAAAAAATGTTTATATCTAATAAATTTTAAGGAGAAGGTGGCTGTGATTATTCTGCATTTTTATAAACAATCTACAAATAAAAGAAGTTACTTGCTTTTTCATAGCTATGACAACATGTCAACACTTTTGAAAATAGCAGTCCAGTAAGACTCATCATAGTGGAATTCAACAAACCTGAGGAACTTAGATCCAATATTTGTCTATTTTTTGTTTTTCCTGTTTGTGGCATTTTATCAGTTAATTTTTATTTTCAAATATTTTTATTATAATGATTTTTCAGTACAAGCTAGCAATGCTCTGTTGACGCTGCAGGACAGTGTAACAGCAGTAAATAAATCCAAAACCTCAGCAAAGAGATTAATAGGATCTCAGTCTACAAAAAAGACAGGTACAGTGTACAAAATGTTTTCATTCTTGAAATCACCATTTTAGAAATTGCATTCATAAGTAAGTTTTTTAACAGTATTGTAAATTTAACAGTTGTCATACGCATAGGAAATACTTAGACTAATAATTAGTTTGAAGGATCATGTTTGGACTTACTATCTCATAAAAATCACCAAATACAAGTAATACAATTTCCAAGTATTAAAAGTATTTACAATGTAAAAATATTACTTTATATGCATATGCTAGATAACTATTTGAGTTTATTAAAAAGTTGTTGGTATGATGACCAAGGGTTACTTCAAGTTTATAACTGTTGAACATGATGAAATTAATAAGACCACCCTATTTTAATTAGCCTTTAAACTTAGTGCAATAAGTTGCTATTTAAACATTGAATTATAACCATAATGGTTTATTTCATACTTGTAGCTCAGTAAGTTAATGTTTAAACAGTGAAATATATCCATAATTCTTTGTTTCACTCCTTTAGTTCAGTAAGTTGTTGTCTGAATAGTCAAATACAAAAGGTGAGTACATTATATTAAAATGATTTTGGAGCCTCACCACATCTTCACAATCCATGGCACCATGGCTATGCATCTCAAAAATATACCTGCAGCTTAGTTTCATTGCAAAAAATTCCATTATAAGGCTGTCATGTCTAAAGTACATACCTTCCCCTTCCATGCTTTCCATACACCATCTAGTGTACAAGGACAGCAATTTCCCAGTGCTCATTTCAACAGTCTAATTGCACAGAAATCCATACATGCTTCATCTGGCAACTTGAATGGTATGTATTTCTATGATATAACATGAATACTCATCTATTTCTCCAGCTGCTTGAGGTATGCGATGGTGGAACTGATAAGTTGTGGAAGGAACTTGTGTGCACGCCACTTTTCCTGAATTCCATTTGGAGATCTTTCTTGATTATGTTGTGTACTGTTGTCTGGTGCATGTGGACAACTTTGGCAACTGACTTCTGTGTTTGAGAATTCTCATTTTTTAGAAGACATCACACTTTGCTTACAATGACTGGGGTATGTCTTGTTGCAGATCTCTTTCTTGATGTTTCTAGTGCCCCAAGTTGATCCATATTCTTATGTTTTCCAATGTCATTAAGTGGAAAATAATTCTAAACCCTCCATCTGAACAAATCTTTATGATATATGTGATTATTTTGTGGCAGTCAATGTTTGGTAGCATTTCACTACCAACAAAATGCCAGTCTGTGTCAAAATATACATTCTGTTTTAATGTAATTTATGTTATCTGTGGTTATAACAACTTTCTGGTTTGCATATTCAAAATAATTTTAATATAACATATTAAATCTTCTTTATATCTATAATTGTTTGTTTCATCCTTTTTGATCAGTAAATTGTTATTTCAACAGTAAAACGTATCCACGAGTGTTTGTATCACCTATTTAGCTTGGTAAAAATCGTAGGTATATAGAGGTTAGATTGGTGCAAGAAAGAAGTAGAAGATTGTCAGATTCATTGCCGGATATTTAAAGAACATACAGACCTTTCCATCATGTGAATATTGAGAGATTAATTGTAATATTCCTCACAAAGATGGTAGCCCAATTAGCTTTCCAATCAAATATCTTTTTTCTTGCTCTAAAATTAGTCAGCTGGGAAGTTCATTCTGCTGATCATTATAACCTTTCATGTTGGCCAAAGTCATAATGATGTCACATGCTAAATTCCTCGTCATCCAGGCCCTTTCACTGGTGAAGCAGATTTACCAGGAATGTTGCATTGTGAAGAGGGTGATTACTTGCTTGTATTGTTCTTGGATGTTGTGCCATATCTGTTTCTCTTCAGCTTTGGTGAGAAGATTGTTATCTGCTTCCTTATGATTGTGTTGATGTGTTATCCTTTCAGTTGATGGCGCCATAAGCTGAAAGAGCTGGATAAAATTTTGAGTTTTGCACCCAGAACATCCTTATTGAGGGCAGTAGTAGAGATCTTCCTGGTACAACAACCAGAAACTTCTTTTACAGCAGCTGACTGCAAATCATTCTCACAGGTTTGAAGATCATTTAAGCATTTCATGGATAGAACCCACTGAGTTGTATATGTTTAACAGGTGTTGGTGGAATGAAGTGTTGGAATAGTTGAACTTAACATTATGTTTGCTTATAAATAACTATTCTGTACATGTTTACCATGTTCCCATAATATTGGATGTGTAGATACTCATTTATCAACATTTCCTGGACAGTTTTCATAGTGGATACATTCATCTGTGTTTTAATTTGTCAATGCTGGTAAATGAATGAAGGACTGGCTGTTAGAATAAAATTAATTATTCTTTCATTGCAAATATTACTTCAGTCATCAGACACCATGAAGACTTGGGAGCTCCCTGGATTAAAACACTTATGTTCTGTTGAACATCTGTATCCTTAATATCAAACACTGTGGAGACTTGAAGGTCTTCCTTCATTAGAACACTGATATTCTGCTAGATATGTGTATTCTCAAAATCAAACACCATGTAGACTTGAAAATCTTCCTTGATTAGAACACTGATATTCTCAACATATTAGAAAATTTCCACCAGACTGTTTGTAACTGGTAAGTTCGAACTCATGACAAAAGAAAAAAGTATTGTGCATACAGTATTTTAATAAAGTGAAAAGAGGTGTTGTTTGCCAAAGGAGCACAAGCAAATGGGTGATCAAGCTCTCTCTCTCTTTTTGGTCAGGCAATCTGTCAGAAAATTCAATAATGCTAACAAGATTCTGATGATTAGTGACTAACACTTAGAGTTTGTTTTCTTCTACTTAGAAAATTGTCTCTCTGCTGCAAAAATGGAAAAAAGTCAAAATTCTAAATACAGGTACTTTTTTAATAGTATTGCTATTTATGATGACACTAATTTAAGCCATGTTTTAACATTAGTAAGTTCTAATTAAGCATATTAACATCATATTCAGTTTATGTGTTAGAGTTAGTCTATGGTAGAAAAATAGTAAGGTAAATTGTTGCCCTTTTGTTAGGCATAAATGACACTGCAGTGATTACTTCTGATTGCTTTCAATTTCTCAGGCATTTGGTTCAGAATTTGCTAAGATAATTCTTATAAATAACTAATAGAACTTAACACTGTTCCACTATTATACTATCAGGTAGCTAACTCTTGTGTAAACATTGTTTGAGAGGATGCCTTAATCAACAAGTATATCAGCGGTTAGCTTTCAGTCTAGTGAAAACCAATATATATCATTTGTAACTGACTACCTGATCACCAACAAATTGTTCATCACAGCAAATTAACCACCAGTGCTTGATCAGCAATTTAGGCCAAAACATTCATTTGAGGGGGTTCTTTTCCTCTAAAGTTCTTTTTCTGGGTCTTTCCTCAGTTTTAGTAAGGTTTTATTTTTATTTTACATTTTTACCAAAAGTGTTTCTATCTATACTATTTTTAAAATTTGGCATTATTTCTTTCACCTAGTATTAATTGTAATGTGCCAATTTTTTTTCTTTCACCTAGTATTAATTGTAATGTGCCAATTTTTTTTTCTTTCACCTAGTATTAATTGTAATGTGCCAATTTTTTTTTCTTTCACCCAGTATTAATTGTAATGTGCCAATTTTTTTTCTTTCTTTAAGGCATGAACAGCAGCAGTAGCTGTACAAGTGATAACAGTAACAATAAACAACAACCAACAACGTTATTAGAATTTCAGTTACGTATTTGTTTGTTTTGTTGGTTTAACCTGCATTATTACTGTTTGAAGTTCTGAATTCTGATACGGTACTTACCTCCCCTCACAAGATTAGCTATTCTCATTCAGTGCTGCCCTCTATATGCTAACTTTTTCTTTATGCATGACACAAGACTTGCACTCTCCCCTTGTTGGAATTACTATATTCCAGCATGTCTTTCATGCAAATCATCATGCATCATCTCTTAACCAATAGTAGCATGACATGCTCATTTGACGCATATGACCTTTTTCTACACTCCTCTACTGAACTATCACTTCGAAGTTAGGCAGAAGGTGTGAGCACCGGAGCAGTGGGGAGGAAGGATGGGAAGTGCTTCCAGTGTGACAGTTTTTTTTCTCCCAAAGTGGTTTCTTTTTGAGGTTATTTTTTTATACCAGTTCATTCATTTCGTTATATTTCTGCACTTGACAATTTGTGAACATTTTCTTGAGTTATGAATTCCGAAGTTCACGTTACCACTTCAGTGGTCACACTAATGACCAGCGTTTTTCTCAGGCCTCAGGTGCGGGCAACCTGACAGTGGATTTCTCTTCTTTTATACATCGGGAAATTTAATGCTACATGATAACTGTTTGAGTCGGCTGTAATTGTTCAGAATGACAAGGATTTTGATCGTTTTTTCCCGCCTCCAGAGTTTGCCGTTCCTTCCCAATTGCAACCTGAGGAAACATCTTGGCCTAATTTGGTCTTCACAGATTTTGTCTCAGGTCTGTGATGTCTTATTCCTTTCCCCTATCTCTTATTCACCTCATCCTTCCTTGTTGCATGAACCATCTTCTCAACCATTTTTGGTATTTCCTCCCAACCCTGATATTTGGATACATATAGATCAATTTGTCTCACAATTAAGTGAGAGGATCAACATGCCCCCCCCCTTCGAGAACTTCTGATTAGTACACCCTTTCTTACCATAGTGTGGACTATCCGTTTTAGGATCAGCAGTTGTTGGGTTCATTATTACCTCTGTGGGGGCAGCTCCCGAATCTCATGTTAGTCTTACCCATGCCCAATATTCTCCCCTTTGTCTTACTCTAACTAACCTTATACGATATCTTTCTTCCATACATCTCCTATTGGAGGCTCTTCACAGAAATGCTGAGGGTTTTTCTGTGGATACCCTTCACCTTCTTTCTTCCACATTTTGCTCTCGGCTCTGGTGTTACATACATGGTTTCTTTATTGTTGGTACCTTATAGGTAGGGATGCAATATACCCTCAATATATCTCAGGAACTTACTTATTGCCC